CTTGCTCAGGCTGGTCTCGAACTCCTGAGCTCAAACAATCCGCCGGCCTCGGCCTCCCAGAGAGCTAGGATTACAGGGGTGAGCCACCGCGCCTGGCCAAGGAGAATATCTTAAAAGCAGTAAGAAGAGAAAAATAATGCATCACTTATCAGGGAACCCCAATAAGATTAATAGCTGAGTTCTCAGCTGAAACAATACAGGCCAGAAAGCAGTGGGATAATATATTCCTAGTGCTCAAAACAAACAACTGTCAACCAAAAATCCTATATTCAATAAATCAATCTTTCAGAATTGAAGGTGAAATAAAGACTTCCCAGATGAAAAAATAAATAAATGTCTGTTGAGTGAATAATACTATCGAAAAACCCATAAGTAGCAGGATTCAAGTAATATTTCCAACAACATATGACAGAGTATGTAAACCTTTCCTTGTTCTTCTCATGCTCAATAACAATTTTTGTTTCATTGGCCAGTTACTCAGACCTTGCATGACAGGAACTAAAAATAGTTCAGAGTTGGATAGATTTTACTACTTAATTTAACATCACGTCCTACCCAATTTAACCAAACACTAGAAAATCTGCAAAGAAAGGAAACCTACAGGCCTTTCTACTACTTAGTCCTGAGCCTTTTTTCAAGTGCAAGGAATCTCCGGATACTTTTCTTTCTTTCTTATAATAGGTCTTAGAATCTCTGTGTTTGCCCTCATTTATGAAGATAATGATGGTAACAAAAACATCTCGATTATAATCTACCATGTACCAGGCACTTTTATATTATATATATTATTAATAATAATATATATATTATATATTAACTCTAATTTTCAAAACAACTCTCGGAATTGGTATTATCATCAACATCATTTTACAGAATGGGAAAACTGAAACCAGAGAATGGTTAGCACAGGGATTTATTCATAGAATCTCTATTCTTCCCATCACACAATGCAGCCTTCTCCTCTTATCCTTTGAGGCTGTTCTCCCACAATCTTAGCTATGGGTAAAATACAATCTCTCCAGCTGCCCGCCTCCCTTCATATGCTGTCCTCCATAACAAGCACACAGGCTCTCTGATTTTAAAGGTTTTGCTGTTATCAACTCAGGGTAACAAAGGAGGATAACAAATATAACAAATTTAGAGATGTGACAACAATTCAACATTCAACCTACATTTATAAATGCCTGGCACTATACAAAAATCACAGCCTCTTTCAAAGTTCTTAGTGTAAGAATCCTTAGCCTCCAATTTACTGGCTGTCTTTTGAAGCAATAAATGGGAGCCTTGCTAGGTTTAAAAAATTTTCCCTCCCCACTACCTAACCTCCTCATCTCCCAGGACACAGATCAAATTATACTACAGGGAAAAAGAATGGGTGATTCTTTATAAAGTGAGAAATTTGCACTTCTAAGAAATTTCAGGAGTCGAAACACTCCTGAAACTTTGATCCACAAGCCTAATTGCTTTAGGCCATTTCCTCACAATGTGAGCATTTGGTCCCTTCTATTTTTACAGAATTACATGGAGCTTCCAGTTTTCATGTTATATTTCCAAATTTCTGAACAACTCCTCAGCTCCAAGTCTAAACTCCCTATGCCACTAGACACACATATGAAGCCAAAAACAAAAAACTCCCACTGTTCTCCATTATATCCTTATTTCTGTTAATAGTACCACTGACCTCTCAAAAATGTCTTAGGCCTGTACTTATTTCAGTTCCCAATATCAATGTCAACATTTTTCAGATTTATACTCTTCACTATAATCATCACTTCTTGCCTTAATTACTGTAATTAAACTCCATGATATTCCTGCCTCTAAGCTTGTACTCCTCCACTGGACCTGTTCCCAAATTAATATCCTTAATATCCATAAAGAGGGGTTCTTCTTACTAAAAATCATATACAAAATCCTTAGTCTGGCATTTAAGGATTTCCATAACCTGTATCCATCTATCATTACCAGCCTGTTCCTTAAACATACATTCTTAGCAAATGTACTCTGCTTTTCCTACCTCTGTACCTTTGTTTGGGTAGTATCCTTACGTGGAACTATCTTCTCCTACCCTCCTGCAACTGCTAACAATCTTTCAAATAACCACATCCTCAATAAAAGGAAAACGCTGAGATATATCATTTACTGAACACATACTCGGTCTAGTGCTTAACAAATCCTCCTAATCTCCAGAAAGATACAATGAGGAAGGAGTTAAGGAAACTGAGGAGGAACTTATCCAAGGTCACCAACAAGTAAGAATCCAAACTAGCCACAGAGCATTCTGTATTTTCTGATGAAATATGACATAAGAGGGACAGGTTTTATATAATCAACATACCTGAGTTTAAATTCCAGCTACTCCACTAACTACCTGTGTGAATTCAGCAAGTTATGTATCTATGATGCCTATAGTTTTCCGCCTATAAAAAGGGGTAGGTGTACTATTTACCACCTCGACAACTGTGAGAATTACATGAGATAATATAAAGTGCTTAGAACTGTATTTGGCCCATGATAACCAATCAGTGTTAACTATTATTACTGTTTTGTTGTTATTTATGTGCTATGATATATAAACTTTAAACAATATCTACCATATGCTCTCATTGTTCCCAAATCAACTTTTGAGAAGTGTAAAACCTTCATAAAAACTTAATACTATATTTTTGATCTATGCTTGAAAAATATCTGCAGAATACATAAATGTTTAAACAAGTCACCACCATGCTTTATTAAAAAGAATTCACTTATCTCCTAATTCTGTTTTCTCTTTTGAGAAAACTAATAATGCTTACTAGCTTGCTTCCCCTTTTTATGTCATGTGAAACTACCAAACACAATGCCATATGGTAGCAACATGCCAAATGGCAAAAAGCACTTTTCGATTCAAATTCATTTTGCCTTCTGCTAAACATTATTAATTCCCAGATTTTAAAATGTCCAGAATCATACTTTTAATTTAAATGCCAACGATTTTTAGGTCACACGAACATGAAGTAGGCAAAGCATACCATGATATTTGACCAAGCCATTTCATTTCATACATTTTTATGGCAAGAACTATAAAACACAAAATGCCTTCCTATTCAACTTAACTCAAAGACATAAATCTACTCCTATAGTCATATCCCTAGTCCTATCCTCACTTTGCTAAAATTAGTGCCTGAAAAGCTTCTGATAAATCTATGTTACCCTGGGATGCAGAAAAATATCAAGGGAAGGGAACTGAATGCTACCAACAATTTTGGCACCTCCAAAATTCTTGAGAGAAATGAGCTTTAAACAAGAATAGATGAGAACTTATCCCAAACCCTTCAGTATTGAATCTCTCAGACCAAGATTTTGTCCACATGATTCACATTATACATGGAGACAAGACATCAAGCTGCCTGACTTCAAAGGCAGAGGTAAAAAATATATTAATAAACAGCTGTCATTCCTTACAGAGAGAAATAACTGTGTTTCTCTCCAACAGTTTCCAAAAAAACAAGCAAACAAATAAACAAAAAAAAAAACTTTGGTGCTTTACTATGTAACAAATTTTATTTCATTTAATCCTCAAAACAACTCTTATTTACAGATGATGTCACAAAATTAGTAAGTGGCAGAACTCTGAACCCAGCCTGACTCCCAAATTTGGGATCTAGTATTTTGAAACATTTGTTTTTTGTCATAATCCATGATAATACACTTTACATTTCCATCTTCACCTTGACACACACATATTAAAAGAAACTGAAACAAAAGTCTCTTGAAATAATATTTATTTTTACTCCATAGAACATCCTCTGACGTTTTTTCTTTCTTTCTTCCTTTCATTTTAATGCTTATGTCAATGTATCAAATTGATCCCCAAATCCATTAATGAATCCTTATGGGCCCTGCACTACAGCACTGCACTACACTTCTTAAAAGTTCCTTTTTAACTGCTGCCACTGTCCAGTGTTGTTACTTTGGGATGGCACTGATCTCCTCGACTCATTAAAAATTGTGCTTAAATAGTTTAAACCCTTTAAAGTCCTACCTTAAATCTTGAATTGATCTGTTTTCTCTACAAGAACACTTTGGAGGAACACCCATCTTACTTATTTATATTGTATCAATGTATCAAAGACTGCAGATGTTCTCCTTGGAGAACAACACATCATTGTTGAAAGGAATGCATTAGTTTTCACTGTTCTGCTGCATCACTGATGAATAGTAGTGGCCGGGCAGGTTTGGGGCAACAACAAAGGACGTGAGCAGCTGCCCACGGTGCTGAAATTAAGGATGAAAGGATAGTTTTTAAATTTACTACTGCGAGGTTAGGACAAAATAGAGGAATTTACCAAATGCTAGCAGAGAACGCTCAGTGTCTGTCACCAAAGTTGTGTGAGTGCTTCCGGGATACTATCGCTTGGCTTCGGTGTCTGTCCACTCTCTCTCTCTGGGGCAGAGTTCTTTAATCAGTGCAGGTCAACTCAATGAGCGTCCTGGCACAGCTGCTGACATTAAGAGGGCAGAGACATGGGTATCTGGCCTTAACAGGGTCATGTCTCATCCTGCAATCATCCAGGGAAAGAAAAAGGCGATGGAGGGTAAGAAAGAAAGGAAGTGATTGCCCTCTTCTTCAAAGACAAAACAGCCCACGCAACTAAGTCAAGCGATTTCGCTCGAGGACTTTGCGGCAAGTGCTACCAAGAGAAGCCTTCCAAACATCTTGCCAGGCTCCTGCCATCTCAGGAAGGCAATTTAAGAAGCACAACAGATAACCCAACAACTTTAGACACATACAAACTCGAGGGATAGGGGAGCAGAGGAGACTCTGTCCTCTGAGGGCAGGGCTATTTTTTATTCCTTTTGCAAAAAAGCCTAATTTACTCCGCGCCCAGCTTGGGAGGAGCAGCAAAGACTTCAGTAGCAGGGCCGACTCGGAGCTCGAGGGCCAACAAGGGGGTTGGTGTGTTCTTTGGACCGCCCGACAACCCGCCGCCTGGCCGCCACGGAGCCGGACAGGCTCTTACCTGGAAGCCCGCCCCGGGAACACAAACAGGATCGCCGGCCGCGTCGCTGCAGGAGAAGTCCCTACCCTGACTTCATGACTGAATATCCGCACCGACCCCCACAGCCCGGAGTCGGAGCAGGGACGACAACACCGAAGCAAGGCGGAAGTCCCGCCCCACTAGCTTCATTGGTCCGCACTCGAAGTCAGAGAAAAACCATTGGGTCACAGTGTTGCCTGTCAAGGCTCCTTCCCACTCTCACGCCGGGTCTCGCTGCTTGCTTCAGCCCGGCTAAGAGAAATGCCCAGTTTGCGAGTCTCGTTCTTGGCCGCGTGATCGGCCTGCCCTGGAAGGGAAGCGAAGGGCAGGGTGGGGCAAGCATCTGAGGAACTGGAGCTTCGCTGAAGAAGCTGCTCTTGGCAGGGGAGGGAGCAGGCTGGCAGAGTGGATTGGTTGGGGGCTCCTGCCGCCGGCCATGTGCCCCGAGGAGAAGAGAACGTAGGGTGTGGAGGGCGCGGGACCAAGCAGCCGGGGCGGGTGGGCCTCATCCCCTCCCCGGCTGTTGGACCAAAGTAGCCCAAGACCCACCTGGCAGCCTGCCCCTGGGCGGGCCTGGCTGTGGCACCGACGCGTCTTTTCCCTGCACTACACTCAACCGAGCCGCTAAAGAGGTGCGGGCAAGGCCTTGTCCCCTCTGCACCGTGTCCAGGCTGAGATCGGGGTGCGTAGGACCGAGGCCATCGCCTTAAAGTCCGGGTCGCGTTGTTAGAGGTGTGAATGGCTTGAAGCCTGAACGCGAATCACCCGAGGCCTGGCTCGGAGCCGCGCTGACATGAGCACTCTGGTCCTGACACGCGCCATCCCCAGGGGCTCAGCAAAAATCAAACCGTGTGATTCAGCCACTGGATCAGCCTTTTAAAACCCTTGCCTCCTTTTGACGTTCCAAAACTCTGGTTCCCTGCCGCCCTTCTGGTAAGCCTTCCTCTTTCAGTTTGTCCCAATCCTAAACCAATTAAAACATGTTACCAAATTGGACTATCCACACTGATTAACCAGTTGCTAACTCGCCACTTGAAAGAGGCAGTGTGGCTTAGTGCAAAGATTGCAGCATCCTGAACTAAAACCTCAGGAAACAGATTCTGGTCCCACTTTGGCTTCCAAGTAATAAGGCCTTTACAGGCTTCAAATCCTTCAACATCATCTTTTTTAAAAGGGAGGAGGATGGAGGCTATCACATAGAATATCAGTACGATACCATTGGATGTAACCTGTAACTTGATTGCTTAAGTAGCTGGGACACAGGAATGGAGGAAAGACTCCTTCCCTACTGTGTGTCCTTTTGTGCCTTTTGATTTTTGAACCTTGTGAATATTGCGTACTCAAATAAAATTCAAATAAAAGAAGTTTAAAAATCAAATTATTAAATACAATAAATAAAAGCCATCAAGTATTTTCCTCGTCTATGTATCCTATGACCATATATATATTCTATACATTCTTAACTTTTGATTGGTTGTGAAGACATTCAATACTTAAATAATACACAGTTCTGACCTTTAAGAAAGTTATAAATAAAATTCAGGATTGGGAATATTACTAAGAAGGCTAGTATAATTAATATAAACATTTATAATATAAAAGCATTTTTCATTAAATTATCTTAAATTGGTTTGTATATTAAATCAGAGATTTCTTGCATGATGTCAAAAATAGTAAAATAAAGAATTTGCATTTTACAGATTTAAAAAAAGCATAGAGATGAGCTTTGCTTGTTCCTTAAATAAAGGCACCTGGAGTACAGAACATTTTACTTCTGGCTTTAATCTACTCTACAGATCACAGTAGGTATAGTTCTCCCAGTTATAAACAAAATAATATGTTATTTGCACTGCATTTAGGCAGACTAATTTTGCTGCACCCAACAAAAACATTGATTCTCCCCACCTGTGGTGAATAAAGGCAAATTAGAAAAAAATAGATTGGAAAAATGTACTAATTTTTTTAAAAGTGGGTTAGACAGTAAGGTTGACATATCTTAATTATGGTTTTAAAGAACAGGAAGGGTTAATAGGGCACATAATACTAATATACCACTAATTATCTTTTTATATTATAAAAACAAATAAAAGGAAATGTGCTTTCAGTGTTTTGTATCTAACAGATTTTTTTAATCTTCCTAAAAAGTACAAACAGATAGCATGTAAAAGTAATTATAGAATTTTCTACTTTCAAAATATTGTAAAACAACCACAACAATAAGAAATACAGATCCCCAATTACTTAATTGTCTAAAATGGCTTAGAAGTAGTTCTCCCTAAATATGGAAAAGAATTCAGGCAGTCTCCTTAAGCACTGAAATCAATCAGAAACATGAACCAATTCTAGGCATTGTCATGTTTAGAATCAGGGAAAAAAGGTAATTTTAGAATCAGATAAAAAGCTATTTCCATTTTGAAAACAAAATAAGATTATTACTGTGAAAAAAGAAGAAATAGAATCCATAAGGGATCCATATAAATATGGAGTAGGCAAATGTGAAAAAATACCAAACAGAACTTATAAAAATTACTTCAGGGAATTTTTAGCCAAAGATCAGAAAAGACTCTAATTTCTTTGCCAAATTCGAAATTAATGAATAGGTTCACTTAGTAAGATGTTAATAGTAATTGAAAAATTAACACCAGGAGACAGGTATCAGTCAGAAGGGCTTTTCAACAAAGTTTATTATCAAGGAGTTAAGAAAGATCAGACAAAAAGAGGTATATTTAAGGTTAAATGCCTCAAAAAATGATCTAGTCATTGTTTTATGTAAGATGAGTTGCTCCCCTCTCTTGGATCTAAGATGATTGACATGCAATTTCAACTTTTCCTTTCTTATTTGGGGGCACTGAGAGGCAGTCTTCCTCTATTTGCTAACAAAGTTATTACAAAATAAGCATGAAAAATTCATATGACATAATGTAATATAAAGATGAAAGAACTTATAGAAGTGTGGATTGATGTAATCACTTTGGGAAACAATTTGAAATTGTCTTGAGAGGCTAAAAAAGAAAATTTCCTATGACACAGCAATTCACTCCAGGGAAACACAAAATAAATTCATATCTAGGCACATTGTAAGAAAATTTAAAGAAAATCACAGAAAAATAAAAGTTCTTCAAACAGAAAGAGAAAAATGAAATACAAACAAATGACAGCTGGCTGTTTAATAGCAACAAAAGAAATTAAAAGTTAATTAAAAAATATCTTCAAATGCTAAAATAAGATACTTAAAATTATCAGCTTGGAATTGTATGCCTAGTTAAGCTATCATTTAAAAGTCAGGGCAAAATAAAGACATTTTCAGGGAAAATGAGCATTCACCACTATCGGACTTCCACTGAGAGAACTTTTAAAGAATACCTTCAGGAAGATGAAAATCGAACCCAGAAGAAAAGGTGTGAGATGCAAAAATGTATGGAGAACAAAGAAATTGAGTATGATTCCCAAACCAGTAGACACGAAAAATGGGAATAAAGAAAACAATATTCAATAGAAAGCAGGAAAGGAGAGATGGGAAGGAGCAAATTAAAGGTATTATAAACAGCAAATTCAAAGTGAGATGGAAGAGGTTTCATCAGCTAGATAGTAGAATAGGAGTTTTCTACTGTCATCCCCCTGGAGAAACATTAATTTTGAAAATTAACCCCAGATGAAAGTACCTTTGTGGAAGTCCAAGAGTCTAGCAAAGAAGTTCCACCACACTGTTGGAGCAAAAAAATATGAGAATAGATGCATTGAAGGGGGTTAGAAGAACAATTTTGCTTTATCTGCATCACCCCTCCCCCTAGGCAGCATACCTCAGTGCCAAGAAAGACTCCCTTGGCCTGTAATTTTTCCCATGGGAAAATTAAGAGCTTACTGAGTGTCTTAGTGCATTTAGTGTTGTTATAAATGAATACCTGAGGCTGGGTAATTTATAAAGAAAAGAGGATTATTTGGCTCATGGTTCTGCAGGCTGTACAAGAAGCATAGTGCCAGCATCTGCTTCTGGTGAGGGCTTTAGGATATATCCACTCGTGGTGAAAGGTGAAGTGGAGCTGGTATGTGCAGAGATCACATGGCAAGTGAGGAAGCAAGAGAGAGAAGGGGTAGGGAGGTACCAGGCTTTTTTGAAAAACAGCTCTCGGGGGAACTAATAGAGTGAGAACTCACTCAATCCCCCACTCCAGGGCATTAATCTATTCATGAGAGATTCACCCCCATAACCCAAACACCTCCCATCAGGCCCCACCACCAACATTGAGGATGAAATTTCAACATGAGATCTGGAGGGGTCAAACATCTAAACCATAGCAGTGAGTGAGCACCTGTCACTCCCAGCCATGTGGGACATTGCCCAGGAGGCCCACAGCCAGAAAACAATTAACAAAATGGCAATAGTAAGTCCTTAACTAACAATAATTACCTTGAAAGAGAAATGGGTTCAATTCTCCAATTGAAAGATATAGAGTGGCTAAATGGATTTTAAAATAAATAAAAAGCAAGACCAACTATATGCTTCCTACAAGAAATTGACATCAGCTATAGGGATACAGACTGAAAGTGAAGGGAGAAAAAAAGATATTCCATGCAAATAAAAACGAAAAGATAGCATAGGTAGCTATATTTATATCAAACAAAATAGACTTTAAGTCAAAAACTACAAAAAGAGACAAATAGGGTCATTATATTGATAAAGGAATCAAATTCATTAAGAGGATATAACAATTATAAATATATATGCACTCAACATTGGAGTACCTAAATATATAAAGCAAATATTAATAGATCTAAAGAGAGAAATAGACAGCACCACAATAATAGGAGAAAGCTTCAATATCCCACGTTCAACAATTAATAAAAAATCCAGACAGAAAATCAATAAGAAGATGGGGGGCTTGGACTATACTTTAGGCCAAATGGACCTCATATACATATACAGAACATTCTATCCAACAGAGCAACATTATACACATTCTTCTTAACTGCACATGGAACATTCTATAGGACTGATCATACGTTAGGCCACAAAACAAATCTTAACAGGTTGAAATCATTTCAAGCATCTTTTCCTGCCACAATGGCATGAAACTAGAAATCAATAAGTGGAGGAAAATTGGAAAATTCACAAATATGTAAACAACATGCTCCTGAATAATCAATGGGTTAAAGAATAAATCAAAAGAAAAATCAAGAAATATCTTGAAACAAACAAAAATGGAAACACAAACATATCTAAACATAGGGGACA